AGTTTTAATGTTTTTATTTTTGCAAGGTAACTGAAGTACCGGTATGTGGTTAACTTAATGGAGATGCATTAAATCAGAAGCAATGCAGACTGAATTTAATTGTAAATGTGAATAGTTGTATTTTGTTTACATTTGTTAGCAATTAGTGTTTAAATTGAGTGCTTAATTATTTGGAAAAGAATGAATGATGTTACATTAATATGTTTAAATAATACTGTTCTGTCTCCTGCTTTTTGCACAGAGGACAGTAACAATTTTCTGTAGTGGAAGCTACTAAGTCTGTAGGGTTTTATATAATTGAATATTAGTGCTCTAGCTAGGGTTGTTTCAACTGTACAGCAAGACTTCAGTTAGACAATAGTCCTGTAACTCGAAACAAGTAGTGAGTTCCTGTTAACGGTTTAATCACTTTTTCCTGGAAGAAAAACTGACTTATCGTGATAATACTTAATATCTAACTCTGAAATAACTACTTCATTCTGCTAAAGAAATATTTATGTAATGGTCGAATCAAAACTTTGGGAAATTGAGACTCCTCTTAGACCTAAAATGAAAATCTTAATACAAAGAGGAATTGGAGTGGGGTTTTGTTTGGTTTGGGCTTTTTTTGCAATTAGAACAAGGGTAGTTAGGATGGATCAGATGACATCTTGAATGTAATTTGCTTTAGTAGAGTACCTATAATATGAATAACTTTAGTAAAGAAGATTTTCCTAATATGCAGATTCTTGGAAAAAGTAATTGCTGTCTGGCAGCAGCAATTCATGTCTCCTCTCTGCAATTGTATTTTTTTTTCTTCCCTCTGGTTCAATTAAATATTAACCACAGCCTTGAAGTTTTTTGGGCTTACTTGCTTTGTCATATTCCCTCATTGTTGCATTTATGTATATCCCTAGTTACATGAGTGTTTTCCAGTTTTGGTTTAAAAATAATTTAAAACTTTAAATTATTTGGACGTCTGGACTTTTGTATATGTAGAGTTTATTTCAGGTTCTCAGTTTCGTTAGCAGATTCTTTTAATGGATTAATTTCTAGCTGTCACAATTAATACTGGTATTGCAGTGCTACGGCTATGAAAATCTTTCTGAACCAATTATGAGCAGTTCTTCAAAAGATGTTGTAGCTTCTTCATAAGACATTATCAATATTTATTATGCATCATGCAACTTGCATGCTGCCCTTTTTTTTTTTTTTTTTTTCCTTAATTCCTCTGAGAAAGCCCATAATTTGTAACAGGAAATGTAGTGGAGTTATAGGAAATGTACAAAGAGTGGGAACTATGACTACAATACAATTTAAGAAAGATTTTTGGGAAGGGATGGATAAGTATGCTTAACTTTACATGTTAATATTTCTATTGATTTTGTGTATCCCGAGTAATACCAGTCCCAGGTGATTAGAAGTAACTTTTCTTTGTCAGACCTTAACACAGGAAAGAACTTGCAGTATGTTGTCATTTCATCTTTGTATTATGGACGTATTTGTGAACTATAGTCCTAGACCAAGACTTTGCATTAGACATGTAAACATGGGGGAAGGAAGGGAAGTTAGTTCCTGTCGTAGAGGAAACAAGACAACACGTGGCTGTGGAGAGAAAGACAGGAGTACTCCAGGAAATCATGGAACAGTTGTTGGTCAGTGTGTTGTACTTATTCATAATAGAACCTCATATCGTTAAGTGATTTCATCAAGCATACAGTATCTCATACTTCTAAAGCCTTAAGTTGCTTTCTTGATGGTTGCTTGATAACTCATTTTTCAGTTGTGCTAGAGGGCAAGAGTACCAGTTCTGTAACTGATGAAATTTTGAGCGGGTTCTTGGCTTGCTAGCGAGTGTGAAGAGCCAAGAATATATTGTATTTAGTCTGGACTTCTTTTTCTATTTTAACAATTAATCTCATATGTAGATTAGCAGACATTTGGAAATAATTCTGTTGTGTAATACCTCAGTCAGTACCAGTAGTTGCTTGGCTATAGAGACTACTCCCAGGCTGTAGGATTTTAGATACAGTTAATTGCATATATTCAAGAAATGTATAGAATTATATTGTTGAACTCTTGACATCAGTCCAACAAATTTATAGATTGTACTTAAATGCAAGTCTTTATTTTTTTCCCAGATCTTATATGTGTCCTGCCACTAGCAAGAATTTACATCATGCTTTTAACTGTGGTATAGCCCTGTGTAGTTTGTTTATATATTACTTTCATTATTTGCTTTCATTATTTGTATTATACTATGTATTTTGTGTACCCCATACATAATATTTGTTATTTGTGTTGCTTTGGTATCTGGGATCCTAGATGAAGACCAAGATAGTATTCTGTTCATTTTTTGTGCGTACCATAAACAGAACATCGTGCACAGAAAACTATATAATAAAAGACAACAGACAGATACAAGCAGATATGGGACTATAAAGAAACAACGGAGGAAACATAGATCAGTATGTTAAATAGCAGTTGCAGCTTGACAAAGCCCCAATTACTGCCCAAGTGTTCTTTTGTAATAGGAAAGAAATACCAAGGAGCTCTTTGCAGGGAAATAGAAAGAGGTTTTATGGATATTTGCTGGCAGTTTCTTCTGAATACAAGAGCAACACAGGAAAATCTGTAGGGCTGAGTGTTTTCAAACAGGCAAGGCAGTTCCAAAGGCTAGTTTCATTACTTTAATCCCAGAATATCCTAATATTTTATTACCAAATGGGAAAGTTGTGTGAGTTTTCACAGCACCATGCTGCCTTACCTTGTCTGTTTTTGACATATCAGAGAAGGGTTGTATGCCAGATTTATGCATATTGTCATATGAATATGAGAACCCAAAGAGAGATCTGAATCTAGGAGGGTATTCTGGTTATGAAGCTTATGATATGTATAGGGGGAAAGGAGTTCAGGTTTATGACAAAGATTAAAAGATAGCTTGTATAGGTTATCTATAAAATCAGTAAAAATGCTGGAGGGAACTTTAGTGGAACAAGTTTATATGGTACAGATACAGTTTACTATCAGTCTCCAGGGTAGGATCCACAGATCTTTTAGTTCTTTCTACCCTGTTCTTAAAGCCTTCACTAATAGTAGTCTGAATCCCATGCTGCAAGTCAAGGCCATTATTCCTTGTCCTGCCACCAGCAGAGAGAGTGTGGTGTGGCTTTTTTGGTCATGTTGGGTTTTGGTTTGGTGGTGGGTTGTTGGGGTTTTTTTTTTGGTTTTGTTTGTTTTTTAAACCTTCCTTACTGAAAGAATCTGGTAGGTTTTGAAGACTATGTTATCTATTTTTTTAATTTTAGAATCTTAGAAGGACAGGTGATGCATGACACTGTAACAGACAGACCTGTGCTGTTAATAGAAGGATGGTTTTGTCCTTTCAGCTGATGCTTCAAAATAGAGCTTAAGAATATTTTTAGGGAAACAGGCCAATGCAGGTAGAATTTGGATTTTTATGGGCTGTGGCTGTAAAGTTCTCTCATATTCTGGGTTTTTTTTCATCTTTGTTTCTTTCTTGATTTTTGGTTTTGCTAAAAGTTGCTTCACGAAGGAATGTACTTGTACATTTATAGAAATTGAGGAGGAGTTTTAAGTAACATACTGTAGGAAAGGTTGCTGTCAAACATTTATTTTAATTTATAAGATCTGCTGAGTTTAAAACTGGGTTCCAAAACTCAGGGAGGAGGTAAAGCTGAAAGACAGTGTTTTCATGTTGGAAGCGGGGGCATGCTTAGTAATGGAGGAACAAGCTTAGTATCATTTGAATGACATGACAACAAAAGAATGGTGGTAAGAGTAAGAGATGTGTTTATTAGCTGTGTGAGCTCAACCTCCTCTTGTGTTTTACTGTTAATATTCTAATTTGACACATCAAGATTTATCATCCTGTTTTTTCTCTTATATCTCTTTAATGTGTCTGCTGTGTATACTGTGTGTAATGGGTATACTAAATCCTACTGGTATGCAATATGGCTGTCCTTCACAATTTTAACTCTAAGGATGCTCAAGTGACATGGAAGAATGGGACACAAAGACCAGTTTTACTAAGGTCATACTAAGAATCTGTGGCACATCTCCTGGTTCTGTGCTGACATCCTAGAAGTCATTCTCATCCTTTAACAAACCCTATTCCAAAAGTCTAACCTGCAACTTTTTATTTCTTCAAACTAAATTTTCTCTTTCGGTTTTGCCAAATGATTATGCTGAGATGTTTCAATTAACTGGGGTTGTATAGTAATTAAAAAAAAAAAAACAATTTTGGTGGTATTTCATAGGAATTAGTAGTTCTTAGCTGCGCTAGAAGAAACAAGGAAACCGCGTAGTTGATTTTTTTTTCTTTATATAGGTAAGGTGATAGATGCAGTTTTGAGTATGCAGAAAGAATAGATCTGCAGCGCTAGGCCTATTTTACATGAGGGATTAAATTCTTATCTGGTATCTAGTTCATTTAAACCAGATAAAAGGATTGTGCGTATGTAAAGTAGTTCTTGAGCTCTGTGTCTTTAAACAGGCAGAGCATAAGAGTGCGCTCTTAGGCTCCTCTCAAGTCTTGGCATAGGTCTTAAAGCAGCTGCATTATACCGTGGCCTATACGTTGGGGCAGATGGCTTGCAGCCCCTCGTACTGTCCATACTGAGGCAAGTCCTCACTTTGAAGTGGCCTGGGACTGCTTTGATGAAGAGGTGCTGCCATCTCCGACCTCATCGGTGTGCAGCAGTTTCTGTGCTGCACCTCAGGTCAAGACTGGCAAAATAAGCAGAGCTGCAAGGCATTTTTCAGTGTTTTAATTTAAAATAATTCAGTAAGCCTAAAATAGTTCAGTAAGCCTTTAAGTGTCAGATTAACGCTTCTCTTTTCTGATGTTTGTCCTAAGAAAAAAATTGTAGTACTGTGATTATGCAGGGGAACACGTATTGATAGCATTGCATCCTTTCAGAAAGTATTGTTGAGTAATTAGAAATAAAAGCAGAAAGCACTCAAATGTTTGGTGGGGTTTTTTTCCTTGTGTTTTTCAGATGGTGGTAAAAACCTTCATGGATATGGACCAGGACTCAGAGGATGAGAAGCAGCAGTATCTCCCATTAGCCTTGCACCTTGCATCTGAATTCTTCCTCAGGAATCCCAATAAAGATGTGCGCCTCCTTGTAGCATGTTGCTTGGCTGATATCTTTCGTATCTATGCTCCTGAAGCTCCATATACTTCCCATGACAAACTTAAGGTAAAAATGCTTTATAAAATAAAGGCTTTCTTCCTACCTCATTCTCTTACTGAGGAAACCCCCCACCCTCCAAAAAAAGCCAAAACCAAACAAAAAAAACCTGAAAACATTTTTTTACTTGCATTTATACTGACGTTCAGTTTTATTAAAGAGATGTTGCTTTAGTCCTGTGAGTCAGTGTAGTACTTCAAGGGCCAGAGGTGTGTAAGGGAATACTAGATAACCAGCGTCTGTGTTGGTGATAGCTTTCTGTCGGTGCCTAAAAAAGACAATTTAATGTTCTCATATCATAAGTTTGTAGATGTGGGTAGATGTCACTACTAAAGGGTTGTATTTTTACTCTCTGCTGAATCAAGCTTGTAAACACTTTATCATTTTTTGACAGGACATATTCTTGTTTATTACAAGACAATTAAAAGGCTTGGAGGATACGAAGAGCCCTCAATTTAACAGATACTTTTACTTGTTAGAGGTAACACAATAATTGTAACTTTCAGTAGATTATATTTGCTCTGTAAGCCTAAGAAATGTAATCAGTCTTTCTCTAGATGTGCCAGTATGCTTGGGAAATTTCTTCTATTCTGTAAATCGCACCAGACTCATTAAAGTTCAATGAGTTGCTTCTTTGAGCAGTTAATAATTCTGTTTGCGTTTAATAAGTTCATGTAGCTGGCCTATAGTTGAGGACATGTTAAAACGATTAGTATTTATTAACATTTAGCCTTTGTCTTAGAATTCTATACACTGTTTTTCATATCGTGCACCCTTAAGGTTATATTACCTCATCAAGAGAGAATTTCAAATGCTGATTAAAATGCAAATCTGCTTATATTGATGATGGGAGAAGGAATATAAGATTTTGGTTTAAAAACATTAGAAAAATCTGCTTTTGACAAGAAGCATGGGGGTTTTTATCACTGCATTTAGAAACAGTATCTTGTTTGTAAACGTTTGATGTTTAAAATTATTGTTTCATAGCATGAAGAAAAAAGTCTAGAAACATGAACTTATTACATTAACAGTTTCTGTCAATCTGCTTTTATTCATAAGAAATCAGATTATTCTGTATTTAGTTTTTTTCTGGATGTATATTGCAAAGCCTCTTTGTAAAGAGCTCTTTATATGCAAAGCAAGTATCCAGTCTCTTCCCCCAGAGGGTTTACAATCTCTTGTGTAATATTTTTCCTCAAATGGAAAAAAAACGTAACTAACGTGATTACATTTATGTGACCTAATGTGAAGTTGTAATATCCTGAATATCCTGTTTTTGTTTTAGAATTTAGCTTGGGTTAAATCTTACAACATCTGCTTTGAGTTGGAAGATTGCAATGAAATTTTTATTCAGCTTTTTAGGACTCTTTTTTCAGTTATCAAGTAAGTTGAATTGCTTCAATTATATTAAACTGTCAAAATAGCATCAGTTTCGGGGGTAGACAGAATCCTTGCATAGTCTACAAATAAATAAGTCTGAATAGAACAAGTCTTTATTCCTCCAAACGAGGAGATACAGGCAAAGCAAAAGAGTGTGAATTACCGACAATATGGAAGGGTTTGTGTCTAAAAGTAGATGTGTTATAAAATTTCTTGTCCATGTTACAACAGTATACTTCATTCTGACTCATTTACCTGTGTTTGTTTTTCCATGGTGGCTGTTTTCTTCTTTTTTGTTTTGTTTCACTTAAAGCAAAGCCAGGGTGCTCTAGGTTTTTGAAGCTTTCTATAAGAGAGGAAAGGCACATAAAATAGTTTTGAGATGTGGAGTATGTAAGGGAGGGCGAACTGGACAGTGTTAGACATTGTTTCTTAACAGTACTGTTAATATTTGTCAGTGTCTGAAAATTTAGTATTGATAATATTCTTTATCATCTTAGTAATAGCCACAACCAGAAGGTACAAATGCATATGCTGGATTTGATGAGTTCTATCATCATGGAAGGCGACGGGGTAACTCAGGAGCTGCTGGACTCCATTTTGATTAACCTCATTCCTGCACACAAGGTCTGCAAAGTAAAATATTATAGTAGTATACCATTATAACAATAATTTTTATTGCCTTTTGCTTGTTGTTTATCTCTCCACATACTTTAGCCATCAGAACTGTTTTTTTTTTTCCCCAGCCTTGGTAACAGTGGATTGAAAATTTCCTTTGGGAATTATTTGGTACTGTTCATTAGCTGTGTCTAGATTATTCAGTATCAAGAAATTCTGCTTACTTGCCACCTCAGGAGCTCTGTACTGAAACAGAAAGTATTTTCAAGCAAATGTAATATGTAATAGGAAAACATTGTATCTTAAGGGTTGTGGGTTGTTGTTGGTTTTGGGTTTTGGGTTTGTTGGGGTTTTTTTAATTGAAAAGATGTGAAGAATTTTTTTTTATTTAACAAAAAAAAAAAGGGGGGGGGAAGGCTTCTCCAAGACTTCTGCGGTGACTTGCTGCTTGCCTCAGCTTGCCAGTCAGACTCCCCTCCACCTCCCTAGTTGTTGGGTTTTTTTATTTTCCCCCCAGTATCTCTCCCTAAACTTTTTGTTTAATAAAACCTAATTATTACCTGAAGTGTAGTACTTCTCTCTTTTTTTTAAGGTTAGTTGGTTGGTTGCTTTTAGCGCTCCATACTCTTTTATGAGTTCCATAATCTTTCTGCCATTTGCAGAGTTCAGCATCCCTTTAACTCACTTCTAAGTGTCCCCCACCCCCACTTCCTAGAGGAGCGGTGTGCGAGTCTTTCCGAGCAGATTGTTGCTGTCATGCAGGCCATCAGTCTTAGCCCATCTGCACAGCTCCTTCGACAGGTTTTTCAGAGACTCCCCCTTTACAGTCAGTTTCATGAACTGTCATTGATGCTGTCCTTCTGGTTTCATTGTGTGACTTACTACCTGGTCACTGGGTCTGCAGTTGAGCTTTTGAAGTACCTTTACCGTAACGGCTAAATAAATTTGAAAGGAGAATAAACACAACTCCCTTAGCCATGAAATCAGGGTAAGTGAGATTCAGGCTGGTGTTGCCTTTGCATTGACCAAGAAAATGTCCTTGCTAAAACACTTGTGCTTTTTACTGAAACTTGTATGGAGAACAGTAAGTTTCAATTATGAGCTACAGTAAATGAACTGTACTCTGATTACCAAGTATGAGTTTCTGTTTGGTCATTTATTAATTTAAAATAATGACAAAATTAAGGCAGCTCCATCTATGACTACATAAGTAAACGAGCACGTAAAAGCAGGGATTATTCCTTTGGTTACCTAAAGAGGGAGAATTCATGGAAATATATAGCACAGAAGTGACGAAGCCATGGTCATTGTCATTTACCTGTGAAATCTCAGCAACGAGTGTGTAAAAGTATCATCTGAGGTCAGTTCGCATTCCTTCTGTCATGACAAGGGAATATCATTCTATCAACTCATTTTTACTGAGAGCAACAAGATGATGTCTTATTAAAACTGCTAACAGGAAGGGAGGCCTCTTATTCATAACAATAGAAAAAGAGTCCTTTTGAAAATACACTGTTCTTTGTAAGTTGTTTCTAATCAATTACAGGCAGTAGAGATCAGGAATGGAAATAGAGGAGTGGAGATGTGCATGTCAGGTGCTGGGTGATGCTATTAACAATGGTGGGCATTGCTCTGAGGATGCAAGACCTGGTAAACCTCGTACAACTGAACAGCGTGTTGTGACTACTTCGTGTGGGCAAAGTAAAAGTGAATATGATCCTTTAGTGTTAACATTGTTAGCTTAATCATATAATTTTGCATAATGAAGGAAATCTCAGGCAAGGCTCTGATAAAGAGGTAAACTTGGTGTAAATGTTGGGTTGTACTGCATATTTAGTATCTCTTAGAGGACTGGTGGCCAGTTCTTACTGGCTCTTGGCCATCAGGACTGAGCAAATAATATGCTGTAGTCAGTGCTCAGTATCATACTTTGGTCAGTATTTTGGTCTGTTTTAACTTGTTTGTTTCCTGTAGCAACGGAACTTAAACTACTGCTTTACCGTGATAGTTTAAAAAAAAAAAACAAAAAACCCCACACCAAAAACCAAAAAGCTCTTTTGTCTGCTCTGCCTAGCAGAGTTTGACTGCAGTAATTATGCTTTCCTTTCATGAACAGATCTCCTAGGAAATTCTGTGATTATATTGTTTGTCCTTAGGTATGTAAATTAGAATCACCATAGCTTGAAAAGCATAGTTTATTTGCTTGTAGAGAACATATAATAACAATACTTTTATGTCCATTGAAAGCAATTGAATACTAGTCATTCTCTGCTATGACATAATAAAAGTATCAGTGTTTCTAGACTGTTGTGCTTAATGGAAGTCCGTCTTTGTAGAGGAGCTGAAATACATGTTTTGGATAATGTATTCCATTCCTTTTTGGGGGTTTGGGGGTTTTTTTGTTTGGGGTTTGTGGGTTTTTTGTTTGTTTGTTTGTTTGTTTTAAAAAAAAAAAACCCTCATATTGTGTAAGGCAATACTGTAGTAAAGAAAGGTAAATATACCAGTATGTAGACACGAAATAGAGTCTACCTCAGCATCTAAATTATATTCATTTGTACCTCCATTATCAATAAAGTGGCTTTACACTGTTTACACTGTTCTCTCTTTGTGTGCTAATGTGGCTCTCCTCTAGTAAATCCAGGTTTTCAATAGCAGTATGGTATGTCACATTTTGCTCAGACCATCTATGACATCAAACTCTAGTTCTTTTTATTAACTTTAAAACCAGTGCTATTTAGTGTATATTCTTCTTCACACTCTTACTATCAAGGTTATTCCTTAAAAACGTCTATTCTGTATATTTAAAATCAGTATTTTCTTCTGCATACTCTACATCATGGCCAATCCAGACCTTCAAGGGTTTTTTTTTCCTCCTAACAGTGATTATTTGTTTATTTAGTAATTATTTATTAATAGTTGTTTATTTTATCAATATATATTTCCTTTCTAGGCTGTTTTGGTGTTTTGTTCTTTGGGGGTTTTTTGTTTTGTTTTTTTTTTTGTGTTTAGGTGGTTGTTGGTTTGGGTTTGGTTTGGTTCTTTTTAGCTCTGGTGAGCCTGTCTAGGGGAAAAAAACCCCACAACGTCATTGCAAGAAAACTTTGAAGCTGTATTGGAGATACAAATAAAGTATATTTTCTGTATGAGGTTGGCAGTCCTTTAGTTTAATACAGACGTACCTGCCAACAAGATTTTAATCATGGTCTGGTTTGGAGAGAAACTGTTCTGGTTTGAATATGAGAAGGGTTTATACATATCTGCCTGTCTTCTATAATGAGACATCAGTTTAGTGCTATGGTGACTGAGGAGTTATTTGTTTGCGCCTTTGACCATTTGTTTCTCTTCACTATCAGTTGATGAACTGTCTTTCGGTTTGTCATCTCATCAGCTAAAAGAACATGACGGAGTCATTCTCAGTGTAGACTTGCCAAATACTGTCTTTCCAAGAATCATTCATCCTTAGGCTTTACCTGTATTTTGTCTGCAGTCATTTGTAATTTT